AGCAGCTTTGACTTGTTCCTCTTTTGGGCTCATGTTGCTCTAGCTGGATTTAGTGATAAAAACCTGGATGACAGTCAATTTGGAATAGAATGTGTGGATTACTATAGCTTGGTTGATTCCCATAGAAAGATGTGTGCTAATCTGGCTAGTTGGTAGATCTCTCTAGTTACTGTCATGATTGAGAGGCAGTGAGAAGGCCAGGAAGTACAAACCATAGGGGGTTCATTTTGGCATTCGGAAGTCCCTTGATAATGACATTTTGCTATTGTTTTACTGCTCAAAATGTTTTCCTGTACTTGCCAACATCATTTCCCTTTGCTGGGTTTTAGCTGCAACCAGCTGCAAATCAATTTTGTTGATCCAGCACTGGAAAAGCGAGTTTGTCTTGTGAGTTTCACGTGCAGCTGTAGAACTGGTGACTTGCATAGTGCTGGCATTGAAGTCCATATATGATGCTGAGATGACCCTTTGGAACTTAATTCTATCCCCCATTGAATTTACCATTGAATTTACCATATTTACTTGAATCTAGGATGACCCTGGCTTTAAGATCACTCACCCAAAATTAGATTTTTATACATGGAAAAAGTTATAAATTTGTTACAGTTTTCCATGTATAGAATCTAATTATTGGAGGGTTGTCTTTAACTCATCCCCTCTACCACCCCCACCATTGGGGTGGGGAGGGGCAGGTGGTATGGGGAGGTCTACCTTGCCCCCTGCTTGTGCCTGCCCTCGAGCCTGAGCCTGAATTGATTCAGTCTTTTCAAGTTAGTCTAACCTGGCTGGGCTAAATCAGTTTTGTAACCAGAAAGACATCCCAGAAATGCAGGCGCGTGCCTGCAGTGGCTCAGGCTAGAAGCCAGGGGTGGTAGAGCAGCCCTCCCTTCCATTCGACAGCGCTGAGCTGAGGGGGGCATGGCCAGGCCCCCCTGCAGGACACTGATCAGGGAGCTGTTTCCCCTCCCCTTAATAACAGAGCATTTATCAGCTCCGTTATCAGCATTTAACACCCCATCAGAAGACAAAGCCTTGCTCATTACAAGCTCTTTTTAAATAGCCTTTTTTCAATGGAAACGCATATCAGTCTCTGGCTTCTTTACTATTCATTCCATCTGGGAAGAGCACAGGCCAACTGAAGATGCTTCCTCAGCCTGACAAAGGGTTTTTAAATCCAAAAGCTTGCTAAGAATTTTTTTTCCAACTACTTAGTTTAGTCTAAGATATCAGAAAATATATCAGATTTATCCAAAGAACCTTGTCTGCCTTTTCCAGAGGAAAGAATACAGGGATTTTACCATCTGAGGTGTTGATTACCTCAAAAAGCCCTAAGCGGACACTGTCCTATCTGTCTTGCACAGCATTAGCTAGCATACCACATGCTGGCTACAGTCAACTCTGTGGGAGAGAGGAGGAAGGGATCTCTGATTAAGCAGTGAGTGGTGAGGGGCATGGGGAAGCCAGCAGACCCTGCTGTGCCTGTAAGTCTTTACCAGAGCTCTGGCTAGGGAGCAGAGGGCAGGGGCCAGCTCTGCTGTGGAGCAGAGAGCCCTTCCCAGCCCAGAGAGCATGCTGGGATGCTGGGGGTGTCTGGTTTAGCTTGAACAAGCAAAGGGTCTGGGACAGACGTTGCATAAATTGGTTTGACCCAAGTCAGTTACGTCTGATAGTACATTCAACCAGGTTTATCTCAGACCTGTTTCAGCCATTTTATGACTGGTTAATGTGCACTGAACATCTTTTGTGTTACAGGCTTAAAACAGTTTCTGATCACTTAAACTGGTTGATGTATAATGTCTGTCTCTAGTCCCCCTCTTCTCTCCCCTAACAAGTTCTGCCCCATTCTAGCCTGGGGCACTACATGGTCCTAGCTCAGCCCCTGTAGCAGCCATGCAGTTTATGTGCCACTGCTACAGGGCCAGGCTGGGGCTGTGCTCTGTGCCCCAGGTAGCAGGGAAGCAGAGGCTGCATTGGGGTGGGGGGAAAGGGGAGATAGCATGGTGCAAAAGCTGCAGGGGGGGAGGTGCAGGCAGCAGCTGCAGCTCTGACCCTGGGCCATAGTAGCCATCTCATCCCTTCTACCCTCCCTGCTCAATTCTAAGACAAGGGGCTTTTTCCTTATGTTAAATGGGAGGAAAAAGCCTCATCTTACAATTGAGTAAATACAGTAATCTGTTGACTCCTGTGAATTAGAAGCAAGTACTTTTGAAGCTGAGGAGCAGGTGCTGGTTCTGATTCCCCCCGCCCCCCAATTAATTTTTTTAGGATCCAAAAGTTTAAAAAAACAACTCTGTCCTGGGGCTGGGTGGGGCGGCCATTGATGGGGCTGGGAGAGCAGGTGGGGATGGGGACTGTTTGATTCGGAGGCTTGGCTGATTTGGCCGAATCGATTCAGGACAGTGGTTCAATCACCAAATCGAATCACTGTCCCCTGAATCAGCCGAATCTGAAGTGAATACTAGCTGCTTCACACAGGTGTAGCAGTCAGTATATGCTGGGCTGTCTGATCTCCTTTTCCATGTTATGTTGGATTTTTGTCGAAGGCTCCATAGCCTGATTGCAGTCGATTCAGGTTTACCCATGCCTTACATGGGAGTTTATGACCAGGAGGGTATGAATATGGTAGTTGTGTAGTGGGGTGTGGTTGTTATTCCATTGCTCTTCCCACTTTCTCTGGGGCCATGATGAAAGTATGGTGTTTCCTGCTTCCTCCGTGATATTTCTGGCTGTGTCTTGAACCTTTTAAAAAGTGAGTATGCAGCTGGCAACTGCAGCTGCTCTCCCCTTTTTTCCCATTCTTGAACTCCAGTGGAAGTGGCAACTGGAGAGTGGAGAGCTCCCAGCTGCCATTTTTACATGCACAGTGGGTGCAGCTGGGAGACCTGAGAGCTTTCCACTTCCCACTACATGATGTAGGGCTCTCTCACATATTGGAGTTTGAGGAATTTTATGTTTCATTCTCAGACTTGCACAACCTTGCATGTACAATACAGCCTAAGCAGCCTAAGACTGTATGATGAGAAATTCAGTAAGTTCTTTCTAATTATTCATTTCCAAACTTCCTAGTTTCTTGTGCAGAGTAATTCTTGTTGTTATCCAGACTTCATTGAAACGTACTTCCAACCTTAATTCTTCAACAATGTTTTGTTTAAGAATATCCATATTTGTTCAGTGCCAAAACTTTAAATAGGGCTGGGGGTGTGTGTGTGTGTGTGTGTAAAATTCTTAATTGGAAAAGTCTCTAGAAAGTAATTAACCCTATTTTAAGCAGGTTTCCCCATTTCTTCTTGCTTTTTAGCCCTTTTCCTCAGAGTTGAGAGACAGGCACACAGCTTCTGCTTTTATAAAATGCACACAATTACCAGTGTTTTAAAATGTGTTTTATAACTTCTCTGATTCAGTTTTTTCTAATCCGTGCATGCACACGCTTTAAACATTCTTTAGGAAATTTTTAAGTACCACAAATTTAGGGTGGTGAAGGCTTTCTTCCTGCCTTCCCCCTGAAAAATCTTATTTTGGGATGGGATGGCTTTACTGCTTTAGAGATGGCTTTTTTTTTTCTTTCTGAATGAGTGTTGGAAATTCAATGAAAGTCAAATTCAGTGTAGAAGCTAAATTGCAACTGTCATTATTGGTTTCAACCTGAAGTTGTTTTTCTCCAATCTAACACTGTCTTCCTGGGACTGGTACCCTAAAAATTATTTAAACCTCTTAATGGCCAAAACTGACTGAGAGAAACTCAATCCTTGCTCTCTGCCTCCAAAAAGCTAACAAAACCAAACAAGTGTACTTCTCCTGTCCTGTTAAGTATTAGCATAATGTGAAGTACTTAAACTAAGCCCAGGAATATTTTGTTGTCATATACATACATTTTTCCATCTGGTCTGTTCTATAAATAAAAAGGAAAATGCATCTCTGTTTTCTGTGACTTTAGTACCTCAATTTTTGCTAATATTTAATTGTATATAAAAACTTATTTTAGTATATTTTTAAGAATAGCTTGCTATCTTGAAAAATTATTAATCTAATCCAAGCTAAGTATAAGGTATTCAAGTTCTTGAGTACTTTGTATATATAAGTATGTTTCCTCCTCTTTGTTCCTGAATTGTTGGCTAATAACTAGCCAAACTTGTTTTGTAGGGATTCTAATATCTTAAATTACTAGTTTTTTGTTTACTGTTAAATGCTATGAGGTAAGCTCATTTACTTTGTTTTTGTCTTTAAAGCCAATACTCTGAATTGGTTCCAGGATGTTAGGAACTAAATTAGAATAATGGAAAATTAAAGTTCTGTTTAATTGCGTTGATAGTGTCATGCATTCTTCTCAACAACTGTTACCCAAATTCTTTATTTTCTGGGAAGACCAAACTCTGCAGCTAAATACCAGGAAAAAGAGTCCCCAAAATTGTCTACTCTGAGCTCTGCAGCCAGGAAAATCATTTAAAAATAACAACACCCCAACCTAAAACCTTTACATTTTGAAATGTATTCTGCTTTAGTTGTGCGCTGAAGCAGCACATTGCCGAGATATCCTGTTTCCTTCTTCTCTGAAAAAAGGTTTTACTTCTGAAATTGTACTAGACAGCTGTGTGCTCCTGTCATAATGTGACTTACAAGGTGCAAAGGATTTTTTGTGTCCAAACACTGTGAGCTAAGGCATTAACATTGTATTTCAAGCAAAATAAGAGTAGTAGATGTGGCTCAAATCTTTTCTCAGTGATGCATAATATTATGAGCATTTTATCTGACTTTCAGAAGTATCCCACACAAATGCTTTTTTAACTTTCCAAGTTAAAAAACTGGAAGTTTTTACTAAAGCTTTTTTCCTAATTAATAAAAGTTTGGCATTTTGTTGATTTCCCCCCCCCCCCCCCCCCCCC